AAAAATTAGCCGGGTGTAGTGGCAGGCTCTTGTAATCCCAGCTACTTAGGAGACTGAGGCAGGAGAATCACTTGAACCTTGGAGGAGGAGGTTGTAGTGAGCTGACATTGTACCACTGCACTCCGGCCTGGGTAACAGTGAGACTCCATCTCACAAAAACAAAACAAAAAAAACAAAAAGCAAAAAATGTGGTTCTTAGACCACCGGCATGAGCATCACTTGGGAATTTGCTCAAAATGGGAATTCTCAGGCCCTGCCCAGATCTGTAGTTTTCTGATTATGTATAATCAGAAAGTGTGGAGTCTAGGCCCAACAATCTGCTTTATAATACCTCCAGTTGATTATAATGTATGTTACAATTTGCAAACTACTGGTCTAGGCATATTATTTCCTAACTAGTGTTTTATTTCTGCTTCTATTGAGATTTAGCGGAAGTCTAAATCCTTGAGTGCAAAATTAGCATTATTTTGCATAGTGGCAAGGACATGGAGCCATACAGGAGGTAGTTGAATCCTGGGTTATCAAGAATTTCAGGGCCAGGCATGGTGGCTCATGTATGTAATTCCAGCACTTTGGGAGGCCGAGGTGGGTGGATTGTTTGAGGTCAGGAGTTCGAGACCAGCCTGGCCAACATAGTGAAACCTCATCTCTAGTAAAAATACAAAAATTAGCTGGGCATGGTGGTAGGCGCCTGTAGTCCCAGCTATTCCAGAGGCTGAGGCAGGAGACTCGCTCGAACCTGGGAGACAGAGATTGCAGTGAGCTGAGATTGCACCACTGCACTCCAGCCTGGGCACAGAGTGAGACTCTGTCTCAAAAAATAATTGTAATAATTTCAGGCAAGTTCACCTCCCTGAGCCACAGTTTCCCATCTTTGAAATGATATAACATCTATCTCCAGATAAGATTTTTTTTAGAATTAAATAAAATAATAATGTAAAGTGCCTAGTATATTGCCAGGATCCCAGGTGTTTGAGAAATTGCCTCTAGCAATTTTACTTGTTAGCAAAGAGCGCCCACCTCCATCTGTTCTTTCTCTTGTTTCTTTAATGTATTTGCTATTTTTTTGTCTCTGGGGCTTTGCATTAACTGTTTTCTCTTGGACATCCAACCTCCTACCCCTCTTTACCTCACTAGCTTTTATACATCCTTTAGATCCCTGCTATAGTTACTCCCCCTGGAGAGGGATTTCCCTAACCCTCACCCTGCAGTCTCTATAGCAGTCTATATTTCTCTATCACTGCATTTATCATACCACTTTGGAATCATCTGTCTCTCATGTAAACTTCATTGAGGCAGTGTCTTGTTCACTGCCATATTCCTAGGGACAAGTGAAGTTCTTCGTATATTGTAGGAGCTAAGTGTTGAATGAATGAATGGTGGCTGCCATTATTGCTTCACCTTCATCCTCCAAGAGCAATCTCCCCATTCTGGTTTATAGTTTTTGTGCTGACTGCTCGTGATAATCATAAGTATATATTGTTGAGAACAGTGCCCATTTTCTCTTTCACTGAAAGCACGTACTTTGACCTTAGCTGACATAGTAGTTCATTCAGCTATTTCCTAACCACTGATCCCTCTGTATCACAGGTATCTCCGGGGAGCTATATGCCTTGATGGATCAAGTTCATCATATGCAACACTCAAAATGGCAGCATCCTTCAGACCTCACTACACGGTGAGTGCGATTAGAAGAAGGAAGAGAAGGGGCAGAGCATGGTGGCTAACGCCTGTAATCTTAGCACTTTGGGAGGCCAAGGTAGGCGGATCATTGGAGGTCAGGAGTTTGAGACCAGCCTGACCAACATGGAGAAACCCCGTCTCTACTAAAAATACAAAATTAGCCGGGCGTGGTAGCACATGCCCATAATCCCAGCTACTCGGGAAGCTGAGGCAGGAGAATCGTTTGAACCTGGGAGGTGGAGGTTGCTGTGAGCCGAGATCATGCCATTGCACTTCAGCCTGGGCAACAAGAACGAAACTTTGTCTCCAAAAAAAAAAGGAGGAAAAGAATAGAATGGCTGGGCATGGTAGCTCACACCTATAATCTCAGCACTTTGGGAGGCCAAGGTGGGTAGGTCGCTTGAAGTCAGGAGTTTGAGAGCGGCCTGGCCAACATGGTGAAAACTCCGTAGCTACTTAAAATACAAAAATTAGCCGGGTGTGGTGGTGAGGGTATATAGTACCAGCTACTCAGGAGGCTGAGGCAGGAGAATTGCTTGAATCCCAGTGGTGGAGATTGCAGTGAGCCGAGATGATGCCACTGTACTCCAGCCTGAGTAGCAGAGTGAGATTCCATCTGAAAAAAAAGAAAGGGTGGAATTTGGCTGCAGGAGGAATATAGTGGGGATTAGGGGTTGGAATTGTTTAAGAGATGAGGGGGGAAAAAAAGCGACGCAGCCTAATGGAATAAGAACTGGACTGAGGCTGAGCACAGTAGCTCATGCCTGTGATTCCAGCACTTTGGGAGGCCAAAGTGGGAGGACTGCTTGAGCCCAAGAGTTCAAGGCCAGCCTGGCCAACATGGTGAGACCCTTTACTACAAAAACTTAGCTGGCCATGGTGGTGTGTGCCTGTAGTCCCTGAGAGTGCCTAAGAGAGGAGGATTGCTTGAAGTCTAGAAGCTTGAGGCTGTGGCAAGCAGTGATTGTGCCACTGCACTCTAGCCTGGGCAGGGCAAGACCCTCTCTCTCAAAAAAAAAAAAAACTTGGACTGAAATTCAGGAAACCTGAGTTCCAATACTAGCTTTGCAACGTGGTGTCAAAGGAAGGACCTTTCTAATTCTGAAATCTTCTGAGATTGTTTTTTAAGACTCAAATTTAATATTACAGTCTTCTGGATTCTTGTTGCAGGGTGGCTGTACCAATTTATTTAGTTATTCTGATTCAGCTACTCAAAAACCTTGGAATCATCCTTTACTCTTTTCTCCCTCACCCCATATTCAATCCCATAGGCTCTGCATATACAGTTGTCGTTGGTATTCATGAGGGATTAGTTCCAGGACTCTCTTTAGATAGCAAAATTCACAGATGCCACGTTCCTTATATAAAATGCCATAGTATTTGCATAACCTGTGCACATCCTTCCATATACTTTTAATCATCTCTGGATTACTTATGATACCTAATACAGTATAAATGCTATGCAGATAGTTATACTGTATTGTTTAGGAAATAATGACAAGGAAAGTCTGGACATGTTCAGTACAGATGAAACCATCTATTTTTTTTTTTCTTTGAATATTTTCAACCCATAGTTGGTTAAATCCATGGAATCAGAACCCACAGATGTGGAGGGTCAGCTGTATATCCAAAGCCTAACTATTTCTCACATTTTCACCTGGATTGTTGCAAGTGACAGTTGCAACATTTCACCTGGATTGTTGCAGTCTCCTAAATGCCGTCCCTGCTTCTCCCCTTGCCAATGCACTGTTCACAACTCAGCAGCCAAGGAGATTCTTTTAAAGCATAAGTCAGATTTGCTCAGTGTTTTCCAGTGGCTTCCCATCTCACATCTTCCCATTCTCATAATCCCCTACAAAGGCCTGTATGCTTTGGCCTGTGCTCACCAACTTCATCTCCTAATACTCTTCCCTTGCTTCAGGGTCTTTACACTCACGTTCCCTCCGTAGTTGTCAAAATTATAGCATTTCTCAGAAGGAAAGGCAGTGTAGTATAATTGTTATTAAATTCTGGAGTGAGATGTGAGTTTAAATCCAGGATCTTCTACTTAACTCTACTGCATAACCTTGGGTAAGTTATTAACCTGAGGCTTAATTTCCTTACCTATACAAGAAGTTAATGAAAATACTGGTAGGATTGTTGCAGTATTAAGTGAGGAGAGATATTTAAAGCATTCAGCAAATACTTGCATATAGGGCTAGATAAATGTCAGGTACTGTTACAATTATTTGCAACCCTGGCTACTACTCATAATTACCTGTGGAGATAGGCAAAAATACAGATTTTCGGGTCCTGATTCCAGGCATTCTAAGTCATTAAGTCTGGGAAGAGGTAGAGGTCAAGAATCCCTATCTGGCCGGGCGTGGTGGCTCACACCTGTAATCCTAGCACCTTGGAAGGCTGAGGCAGGTTGGATCACCTGAGGTCAAGAGTTCCAGCCTGGCCATTATGGTGAAACCCCATCTTAAAAAAAAAAAAAAATCCATATCTGTATTTTTTTTTTTAATTTTTATTTTAGAATCCATATCTTTAGAAAGCTTCCTAGATTGTTATTAGGAGCATTTTCAGAGTTGAAAATGGGATCAAATTATCTCAGAGCATCTTGCTCAGAACCCCAGCCAGCACATAACTAAAAGAGACTCTTAAGAAACTTTACTTTGAGTCTGTGCTATTAATTTTTCAGTCTCAAAACTTGCAATGTGATACTCACATGATGACCTACCTCTCTGGGAATTTATTCTAATTTTAACTGCTGTGTCCTGAGCAACCTTGAGCTGTGTCAGACAATAAGGTCCTTTTGGAGGTACAGGTCTGATGCAAACAATGAAATATAAATCCTATCCTAAATTCTTCCAGGAAGAAAATTTTTTTTTTTTCATACTTCAACATTATTCTACATTAGTTTTCCTTAGAATACTGTGTATGTGGCATATTACCATAATACCTATGGGAATTAGGTGGCTTTGGGAGTTGGAAAGAAATAGTACTTATGGTGTGGTGTTCACATAAATAAAATAGTATAAAAAATAAATAGTATAAAATTTCTAAAATTGTGAGAACTATAAAATTAATATCTAATTTCCAAAAGTAAAGATTTTCCTTAAAATTGTTGTGCTGGCCTTTTTTTGTATACAAATAGCCATTCCAGTTGAAATATCTTTCCTGTTTGTACTCTCCCTCTCTTGATAGAAACTATGCCCGCCGACAGAAACATCTGCAAAGATACAGTCTGACTCAGTGGGTTGACAGGAACATGCGAAGCCACCATCGGTTCCAACGTCTCCCAGACTTCTCATACAGTTGATTTGTCTCAACCCATCAGCAATGAAGGTCCCTATCCAGGGTCCTGCTTGGAGCAGCATTTCGTGTTCTTTTGCTGTTTTGTGCTTTGCAGATTTTGAATTTTATTTTTCACAAGATTTTTATTTAAAAAACTCGTCACCTTTTGGAAATGCCCATTGCTAACTTGAATTTTTTTGTATGAAGTCCCTCCTGATTGTGTGTGTGTGTGTGTGTGTGTGTGTGTGTGTGTGTGTGTATATGTGTGTCTGTGTGTTTAAGCAAGTGTTTGGTTGGTGTAGTTTTTTTGTTTTTTAATTTAAATTGAAGGTAGCTGCCTCCTGAAAGCCAGCATTAAGCCAAAACACCCAGGCTGAAGCAAAAGACTCACCTCTCTGCAGAGGCAAAGTCTACTTCTGGTACCTAAAAGAAATCATTGTTCAATCTCCCATAAGGAAGAGATTCTTTACCAGGCTGTGAGCCAGTATTAGTTGACTTGTAAATGGATATAAGTTACTCTTACTTTTTTATTTGAATCCTCTGAATACCTGTCAGTATTTTAAAGTTGGCAATCCAGGACATTATAAGTGGGATGGAGCAGGAGAAAAATCCCTTTTGAAAGGACAAGTTAAAATAGTAAACCCCCTTCTTTCTGTATGTACTAGCTGCCTTGATTTTTTTTGTTGTTGGGGGAGCATTTTTTCTTTATCAAACTTATTTTGCACAATAGTGTTTACAAATCTTATATATCTTTGACAGAAGACTCAATGACTAATACCTTGTAGTCTTGAGACTGATTGTCTCCTTTGCCCTTCTTCAAGGATTTTCCTTTTTCTTTTTACCCCCCAGTGACCACTCTACTTGTTAGGATTCTAGTGGCAGTATTCTTGTATCCTGTTAGACATGGATACACCTCTTCAGGATGGCCTCCTTGCTCTCTTTATTGAAGAGCTGCCCACCCAGAGTCTTGACTCTAGGGTAAGCCAGTGCTATTGTGGTATCAGTTGGTATTTAGTTTTATCTGCTAAACCCCAGCTTTAAGTATGAGTGTTAGTTACGGAGCCTCCATTCTCTGGGAGAGTGTGGAATGGCACTCTTTTGTCTCCATTATCAGTTAAGAAGAGGTGTCTTTAGACCCTGTATGTTACCATTTCATTTGGTCAAGCCCCTGAAATGCTAAAGTACATGTAATATAGTTGTGACTAAGCCTATGCACAAAAGCATTACCTGATCTTAAAGTTTGGTATTCTAACCAAAGTTGACAGAGTATGCATCTGTCTTTTTTTTTTTTTTTAAACAGAGTTTTACTCTTGTCACCCAGCTAGAGTGCAATGGTGCAGTCTCAACTCACTGCAACCTCTGCCTCCTGGGTTCAAGCGATTCTCCTGCCTCAGCCTCCCAAGTAGCTGGGATTACAGGTACCTGCCACCATGCCTAGCTAGTTTTTGTATTTTTAGAAGAGATGGGATTTCATCATGTTGGCCAGGCTGGTCTCAAACTCCTGAACTCATGTGATCCACCCGCCTCAGCCTCCCAAAGTGCTGGGATTACAGGCATGAACCACCACGCTCAGCTGCATCTGTCTTAATGGATGTCTTAGGAATTGGTTATTTTCTCTTTATACGTAGCTCTAGACATCATTTTGGGAAGTTTTTGCAGTCTGGCATTTGTGCTGTTGTTCTCTGTGAAGGTTGTTCATAGATGCTATAGACTCTGGTTTTGTGATTTCATCAATCCCATCTTTGTATGTGAGTAACACATTCAAAACATCATACCCCACTTTAGAAACCGACTTGGGAAAAGCTTGGTCATTTAAGCCAACAATAAATTTGGGTGAATGTCCCTAAGTGTTTACTGTTTTTATCCAGTCGAGGATTTGCTTTTCCTTGAACATTTGGTTTAAATTTGGTTAAATGCAAAGAAGTTCTCTTCAAAGACAGTAGTCAAAAATCTATTATTTTAGTTAGGCTACTTGGCATTTACTACATTGGTCACTTCTCCAGGTCGCCCTAAATTAGCTTGGTGGAGTGAAACATGGGACATGGCAAGCATCTACCTTTGGGACCATAGCATAGTTAAAATTAAATGTAGTTGGAATAGCTAGCATTGCAGCTGTCTAGTTTCCTTCAGAAAACCCAAGGAGTGAAGGGACAGCATTTTGCTTGGGCAAAAATCTGAGACTCATGTTCTTGCCCTCCTGGTACATGGGGTTTTAAGACTGAATGTGTAATAGGAGCACTGCTTTTGCCAAATCAAATGAGTGACAAGTTAACTAGAAAATGTGACAATCACATTTCCTCTTAGCTCAAATAATTCTGTTTTTCCAAAGCTTTAGCAGCTTAATTAAATCTGTTGGACTGGGGGAGGAGAGAGCTGTTATCTAGTGGTTAACATGGTATTCTTTAAGAAGAAAAAACCAAGCCAAAGAAAACTCATTATCTGGCATGTTCGCCTTAAAGATGGTAGTGGGTAGAATCTGGAGTCTTAATCTCTTTTCAAAGCTGCATATCTCTTATATTTGGTGTTGGCCTCTAAGTCTAGTATTTCATATGGAATTCTGGCTATATTTTTTTTAAGTAAGTATTATGTGCATTTAACTGCTTTCTTCATCGATGACATTCCCACACATGGGTCTTGACAAAGCAGAGTAAAAATATGCTGTTTACATTGTTTACTTCCAAGTAAGGAGCCTGAAATAACCTGTAGTTTCTAATGCAGGCCCTGATTTACTTGCGTTGTCAGTTTCAATTATGAAACTGAAGTTTGGTGCCTCCTCTTTATCATGTTTTTTCCCTTATAGCAGTTGTGTTTAATGTCATTAAAAAGAAATAAAAGTTCTTGTCAGTGACTTATGTACTGTGGCGGTCTGTTGTAGGCTTCGTTGGAGGGTTATTTGCCTTCTTCCTTTGCGTAGGTAGGTTAGTGGGGTGGGGAGGGGGGCGGCAGTTAGTAGAATGTGGTTCTGGGAAGGCGAGGGTGCTTGCTCCCTATTCTTTTGAAGGTAAATTACAGTGTTGAGAAAGGTGTTCTAGCAGTTAAGAAATGTTGATGATTGGGATTTGCAGCTACATATGGTGCATGTCAGGAGCCTGACATAGGGAGAGCCTGAAATATCATTATGCCTTAGTTTTTGCAGAGGGGGAAGATGGCTCAGCCCTAATCAGGCAGGCATTGCCTTTTGTTCCTTCCCATGGCTGTGTGGTTGACCTCCCTGTCTCTGCTTCTTCAGAACTAGCACTGATTAAGAAAGAAGCCATGCTGTCCTAGAGCATTCTCTCTTTAAAGGGGATTTAAGAAACCAGAATCAGCGGTACAGAATTGATGGCTATTCATAACCCAATTTCTCCAGAAACTGCTGCTCCTAGAAACTGGGTGAAGGTTGGATAAGTGTGGGTAGATGTGGGAGACAGCGTTCCTTAGATCCCTTTTGTGAACCCAGAAGCAAGGAAAAAAGGGAAGGCAATAATAACTTGACACCTATATTAGCCAGTGCTTTAAAAATCTGAGTTCATGCTAAGAAAACAAGTAGCAACATGTTTAGCCATGCTCTCTGGTCTGCAGTTCAGTAAGTTTTTTCTGTATCTTCTAGACAAAATACAATATTGAGTCCATGCAAAAGGTTCAATATAAGTTTGCTAAATACTCAGCAACTTGACATTCTTCTCTCAGTCTGAGGTACTCTCCTTAACCTATGCATATCTGTTTTGTTCCTGTCAGGCGTAGATAGGATCTTTTGTTCATTTTACATTATGGAAAAGTAGGAAAAGGAGAAATGGACTTTTTCCAAGAGGATTGGGGTCATTCTCTAATTAGCCTATTTTGAGATTTTATAGGAAGAAAAAAGCCAATCACTTAAAGCTAGAAAGTGGAGTTTCCCGCTTCTCTTAGTATTGTTCTACTTTTCTAAGAGAAAACAATTATTCCTAAGCTGATTCTAGGGTATGCTTGCTTTGTATGCCAGAGCACCTGTCAGGAAAAAAAAATTCCACTTGTCACAGGAAGTATCAGCTGGTCATTGGTGGAATTCCTAAGTGAACAAGCTCCTGCCTTGTCCTTCACACCTGTCCTCCCCCGTGACAACTGGGACATGCCATAGACAGAAAATTTGGCCCTCCCCAGCACCATTGAGAAGGGGGTGGAATATAATATTTTGGATAACCTTTAAAGTAGTTTAAGTGATAGTCCTGAAATGTATCACTAAGGAACTAAGGAACTGTTTGTTTTGAGACAGAGTCTTGCTCTGTTGCCCAGGCTGAAGTGCAGGGGCGCGATCTCGGCTCACTGCCTCCTGGGTCCAAGCAATTCTCATGTCTCAGACTCCTGAGTAGCTGGGATTACAAGTGTGCATCAACATGCCCAGCTAATTTTTTATTTTTAGTAGAGACAGGGTTTCACCATGTTGGCCAGGCTGGTCTTGAACTCCAGGCCTCAAGTGATATGCCCAAAGTGCTGGGATTACACTTTGTAATGTAAGCCACCATACCTGGCCAGGAACTATTTGTATACAAAGATCTTCAGCTTAACTTCAAGTCACATTTAAAGGTTTGGAAATATTTTGTACTGATGGAGCTTGATGGGGCTGGAGCTGGGCAAGGGAGGGAGGTGAGCAGGGTGTCCCATTTATAGAAGCAATTTGTTCTTGGAGGCTACTTCATAAAAGCAAATTCCAGTAACCATCAAATAGGTTTAAAGAGAGTCAAATCTAAAGCATCATGTTAATGGGTTGGTGAGATTTTACACACTTTTGTAAAGGGTTTAAATAGAACCCTTAAAAATTGATTCTTGAGAAGGCCCATTCTGAAAAACTAGGGGACAAGAGTAGGAAGAGGAAAGGACTTCTGCCTCATAGAAACACTCACCAGTCTGTCCTCCTCCCCTCAGACCCTGGGTTTTCCCTCATGCTCCTGGGAGGATGCACCTGGCTCCTATTGTAGGAAGTAGGTGGAATCTGGGAATCTTCTAAATTCTCTGGTTTTGGCAGATAAGGACGGCAAGACCTAACCTCAGAGAATTAACTTGCCTGAGTTGTTAGGTGATTACAAGGCAGGGTCTCCTGCCTCTGAGACCAGCATTTCTCTCATAGGCCTGCTGTAGTCTGCAAGTAAGGTCTCTTGGTCTCAAAGACCTGTCGGTGCCTTTCCACAGTTGTGAGAAATGTCAGTGGATCTATGTGATGGTGAAGGGATCCCATC